AATACACGATGCAAACATCAAAAAATTTGATCTTGAATTTCAGTTCAAAATCAGTATGCGATAACATTTTTAAAAAACTTCCACTGATCCAAAAATGTAAACTCATACATATAATGGTCTGGATATGCACCCACGCACGCATACACACACACACACACACATGCAATCAGTTCTGAAATTCATATTTTATACGTATGATATATTATAAAATATGAATTTGAGAATTGATTGCATATATCAAAACATTGTAATAGTTTTATACCTTCTTGAACTGTAACTTGAATTGTACTTTGTATTGAATTCTATAGATATGGATGAATTATATTTCATTAATTATTAATAAGGCTATCATAGCTGTATATTAATATGTGTAAAAAAAACAACTTTTTACACCATTTTATATAATATGTTGTGAAATCTTGTTTAATACATGTAATTATATAATATGGTAGTAATAATAATATTATTTGTACTATTTTGATTTATAACTGCAAGTAATTTTGTTTGAATATTCATATTTATAAATAGCCAGTTATATAATAAATTATAATATAGATATTAGAATTTCTTAACAATAATATATTGCTTAAGATAATATATAATATATAATTCTTGCAATACAAAATTTTGAAGATTGTTACATTGAGAATATCTGGATTGGTGTCAAAATTGTCCAATAGTAAAACAAATTAGTAAAACAAGTTAATAAAATATTATTTTTGTATTTGTCAATCTTTACCAAACATATATAAAATATTAGCCTTTTTACAATGATAACAATTACTTAATTAATAACATTTTGAATTAAATTTAAAATTAAATTTAACATATTAAATTAAAAATAATTCAGTGCTGAATTGACTGTAGATAGCATTTTATTTATTTAGATCAGTTTCCATTTTAATATTTGTCAGTTATTTCCATTTAACTATCAAATATTATCTAGTTTATTAAATATTTATAAATTCAAGTTTATAAATTCAAAAATTAATTAACAATATATATAATTATTTTTTAAAGTAAATAAAAGACTAAATGAATAATTAAAATAAAATACTTATTTTATTTTAATAAAATTTATTAATAAAACTAAATTTTTATTTAGTAATAAATAAAAATGATAAATAAATATTTAAATTAAAAAAATATATATATTGATATTAAGTAGTCAAAATAAAATTGCTACAAAACTGAAATACATAAATTATACTATTATCTTAAGTTTGTGCTTCCACTGAAAAGTAAAAATACACAAATGAAATAAATTTTGAATAAAATTTTAATATTATTTATTTTACAAACTTACTTACAGCATATAATTTGATTTAATTTGATTCAGTTTAAATTTTCAATTTTCATAATGAGATTTAAAATTTTATTATTCATATTTTGTAGAATAAAATTACACCATTAATTATTTTATATCAATTTGGATTATTCTGTCATCTTATCAATATGATAAATATAGTATAAATGTTAATTTACTCACATAATAGTAATATTTATTTACTTTATTTAAACAAAGGTTAATACGATTAAAAAAAAATTCATTACAAGAACAATTATTAATTTTTAATCTTTATACAATATATTATTTATTTACAGATTTAAAAAATATAATAGAATAATTTATGGTAATTTTTATTATAGATACTTAATATCCTATTTCTAAAAAATGTAAAAAATATTTCAATTTTTATATTCAAAATGTAAAAAATATTATCTCGTTTTCTTTGTTTTTGGAATATAAAATGTTATTTTAGAAAAATATATAAAATATTACAAAATATTTCAAAATATCAATGACAAAGAATATCGCTGTATTGCAAATAATAATCTATTTTATTTTGTTTCAAGAATAATTTTTACAATTTATTATTAGTAAAAAATAACTTACATTATTTTTTAACACATATCATATATTACAGTACATCCATGATAAAAGTATACATTTCATTTAATCCTAACAAAAATTGACATTTGAATAAATATACTTTAGACGTATTATTATAAAAACATTTTTTCTGCTAATTCATTTAATGAAATTGTTATTTTCAATTAGTTGAAAATAAACGGATCATAGCTTATAATTTATTTACAAATATTAGAATTATATATAAAATTTCATTAAGCTTTTATAATTTTCAGTTTCAAAAATATACATTGTCAAATCATATTTTTTAATTTATTGTAATTGTGTAATCAAAATATTAGTTAAATTTTTCTAACTATCCATTATAATAATATTAACACATATCCAATTTATTGTTAGTGGGTGGTGCATTTAATCCACCAATGTCACCAGATTCCAGCTGTTTAAGTAAACGGAAGAGAGCTGCAGCTTCCCTAATACGGCTAAATTCTATACAAAAAGCTTGCACTTCAATAAAAAGTTCTTTCACATTTATAATTTTATTCCTGATTAAGGATTGCAAGAAGACACAAACTAAACGCACTAAACGATTTTGCATGTAACGATCTTTTATAGTTTCACAAGTAGAGATACAATTACTAATATATAAATGAACAAATTCTGTAGGTAAATCTACAGTAGTAGTTAGTCTATTGACCACTTCCATTGAATGAAGTGACATTTCCATATTTACCAAAACACTAAAATATTCTGTTATTTGACTCGATTGCATAAGTTTTAACAAAACTTCAATTGCTATCAAAGGATTATTTTCTACTAAATCTGGTAGCTTTCCTGGAGTAAGACCAATGTGATATACCAATTTTGGATCTCTGTCTAATTCATTAACAAGATGCTGTTGTTGCTGTAATGTCAATACACTTTTAAATGCTTTGCCCATTAATCTACGAGCTTCTGCGCCAGCACAATTTGAAACACACATATTAGTATCATATTCAATTGTAAATTGAGATGGTTCTGTAACATTGAACCATGGTAATTCGTCAACTGAACGATACAGAGGAGGTACTAATCGTAAAAATTCAGGTTGATAACTTTGACTACATAAAGGTGGATCATTGGCAATTAAAACTTCTGTCATGCTTTTTGTTGCATTTTTATCAATCTCTGTTACTTTAGAATGATCCATATCAGGTAAGATCACAGAATTTCCACACTTAGCAATGGAAGGTAATTCTGAATGACGCTCTGCTAGTTGTAGTTGTAAATTACTTAAGTCAACAGGTGGTGCAGATACAAAATACAATTCATCCACAATTTGCCTTGGAGTTTTTTTCAAAATGTCCTTTTGATTATAACCCAATAAACTTATTAAAAGATTCTTCTCACACTGTGATAAAACTAATATATGTTCTGAAAAATTAACCTTTGATACTCCATTATTTATATCTTCTTGGGATTTTAAAACTTGGACAAAAACAGGGGCAAATGGTGTCGAGGCTAGCGTTTCTCCTCTATAAAGATCGAACAACAATGCCACTGCTATTACACGTTGGACATTTTTTGGCAATAAATCTATATGTTGTAAAAGGAGAACTAATGTCATTCCTACTTTGAACCGATCTTCTTTTGAAAATGTTTGATGTAACTGGTTACAAAGATTCTCCAAACTCGTATCTAGGTTTTCTTCTTCGAGGATGTCCAATAATTTTGTTAAATCTTTCGGTGTAAGCGTCATGATGTCTTAGTAACAAATTGAACTAAGTTACAGCACTCCGATTATATTTCCATTTCACGATTATATTCATGAATATCGAAGTTCAAATGTAGTAATTTTTTTTTTCAATTAATAATTATGTACAACATTATTTTTTAACTTGTAGCATGTTACTGTATCCAATTCTATTACATTTTGTAGTCGTCACTTATAGGTTATGATTATGCTATATTACACAACCTACAAATTCAAGTAAAAATAATGAACTGTTTCTATTGCAGTGTAGGTTTGAATATTAAGTACAAAACTTCAGAAAAAGCAGTAGAAACTGTATATCTCACTAACACTAAACTTCAGCGCCATCTACTTCATTATTTCTAGGGCGCTAATTTCAAAACTTATATATATTCATTGAAGTATAATTTCATACATTTGTTTATTTATAATTAATATTTTAAAATATTCGATTTTTATCTTTTTTTGTCATTGTATTGTTAATTAATTTAAAACTAAGAATAAGTATATTATTATTACATATACATATTATTATTATATCGGTAAATATTAAAATTATTATTCACGCAAAAAACATAAAAAATAATTATTAGATCGATAAACGATACTAATCATTAATTTTCTTTAATTATAATGTACATTTTGTGTG